TTTGATTTATCTTCAATGATGCAACCAGATGGACGTTTTCTGCATTTGGCTAAAGATGCATCAATGTTTTCTTCAACTTTGTCAATGGAGACATCGACAATTGCCCACTGTTCAGCACTTATTTGCTTGCAGAATCTAACAAAATAAACTTCTCTGGTTGGCACCATTGGTGTAAGCATTTGCAGCTCTGCAAACATCTGCATCCATCACAATACAAAATTCCATAGCCTTAAATTTTTTTTTTTTTTTTACTTAAATTAGAAGTGTGAATGTAGTGAAAATATTACACATTTTGAAAAATAAACTATTAGAAAGTGAGTTTTGAAATTAAAAAAAAATGAGTGAACGACATATTCCCACCCGAGGTTTAGTCAAATCCTAAGTTGATATCCTTGATTACATTTATTTTAGATTCTCATCTTTAAAGTAACGTCGTTTCCTTTGTTTTAATAAATTCTCAACTTTTCACTGTTGTGTGACACATGTTAGCATGCTAAAATGCATCAACGCTTTTTTTGGTAGAAGATAAGCTCATTTTAGCAAAAAAAGGCTCACGTTATTAGCATCCAAGCCGATTGTTTTTGGCTTTTTAAAGTCGATTCTGAAGTCCAAAATCAATTCCAAGACTACCATTGGACTTCCTACAATCTCCTCTATAAAATTCATACTTTTACTTGCCAATCTCACTCACCATTTCTGATTATCTTTAACCGTCACTAATAGTATTAATTTAAAGGTTGAAATCTAAAATATGTTGTTACTCTAAAAAAAAAAAAAAAAAAAAAAATTTACTCAAGTATCATGCAAAACTACAGTTGAAAGGTAGATTCTGGTAAAACGAATTTGACTACTTTAGTTAAAAAGTGCTTTTACCCAAAAGTACTTTTGACAGGAAAAAAGTTAAACAATTAAAAAACGCTAAAATGCAGAAAAGGGGAAACTCCAAGTCGAACTACACAGTTAATGGTTGGACCACAGAAACGTTTTTTGTTGTTATCTTAAAAGAAGGAAAATGACTCTTCTTTTATGAGATTCACAATGGCCTATGTGTAATGATACATTGAAAAAGTTTTTAAGCTATGACTCACCAACTGCACTGCGCCATCTCTGCTAGGACCTTCACCATTGCAGATAACATCAACAGTGGCTGCCTTTGAGATTAAGCCTGGAAACATTGCCTTCCATTGATTCTGCAAACACAAAGAGACAAATTTTCCTGAGAAAATTTTTGAAGAAGGTATGCATAGTTTTTGTTTTGATAGGATTAAATTATATAAGGACTAAATTTTAACCTCCCCTAATCTTTTCTTAAATTGAAAAAAACCCCTTAGTTTTAAGAAATATCATTAATGTCCTTTTCGTTAATGATTTTGTTAGATTTTCAAATAGGTTGGAGCCACAAATGTATTTGGGGGGATGAAATTAGAAAATAAATGTTAAAAAAATATTATATACAACATGTTATAGTATAACCGGCCAATAAAAAAACATCACATCAACATGATGGAATGCACTTGATTTTCTCATTGATTTGTTGTATCAAATTATACGGAAAACTTTTTCCATATTAACAAGTAAAATCTAAAGAAGATTTCATAACAGTACGAAAGTTTGGTGAGATTTTGAAAAGAGTAGAGAGGGTACTTTTGATATTGAGGAAAGGTTAGGGGAGGTCATAGGAATTTTCCAATTCAGAAAATTAAAGATAATAACATTTAAGGATCAGTAGTTTTACCACATCCATGAAACTTTGAACAAGCCTGGGAAGATCAACAAACACAACTCCAGTGTCTCTTGAGGCTTCAATGGATCGTTTTGGCTTGCCGTCGCTCGAATTATCGACAGAAAACTCTTTGGTATACTCATCATAGTTAAGGATTTCACGGCCGGTCTCAACACTTCGAATCCAAAGTGGCTCACTAGCAGTAGCCATTTTTTTCAACTCTTCCATTCCTTGATTAACCAGCTCCATAATTCTTGACTTATCGAGTCCAAAAATTCCAGTGTAAAATTCCAAAGAGCTCCTGTTTTCTTGGTCATTTCCAGCCGAGCATGAACTTGTTGATGTTGCTCCTGGTGGAGATTTCCCAACAGCCGCTCTTAATTTTTCAACCTGCATGTTAAACCACACGAGATTAATGTTATACACTATTAAAAAAAAAAAAAAAATTATACTTCTTTGAGAAAATTAGGTGCGATTTTGCTTTTGTTTTTTTTTAATCGAACCTCGTTTTTGAGTTTAGCATTTTCTATACGTAGTTGTTGTTCTTCAGAGGTCACGGAAGTGTCCCTGCTAGTAGTGGCAGTGCCACAGTTGGGACAATAAGCTTTGTTAATGGCTTCTCTCATGGCTTTGTTCTCATCTCGGAGCTTCTCCATTTCGCCTTTCAACAATGAATTTTCATGGCGTTCTTGTATAGCCTGAAATTATTATTTTCCCCAATGATTAACCATGAAAAATTGACAAATTTTTTACTAAAATTAAACAGAAATAGCTTATTTTATTTACTTTGATTTGTGTTCGACGATTTTGGAACCAAAACTTGACTTGTCTAGGAGCAAGGCCTAATTGTTTGCTCAGTTGCTGCCTTTGCTTCTCATCAGGATGTGGAGACTCCTTGAAAAGCCTGTAATTAAATAAATTAAAGTCATAAAGAACAAAATAATATTCAAAACCACCATTAATGACAAATGAGATTTGAAAAAAAAAAATGCAGACTGAAAATACATCACTTAGATATAAAAAGACAATGCTTTTGTTAAGGAAACTTTGTATTGAGATTCCCATTTTCCATGTAAAAACAAAGTAAAAAGCAAGCTGTATGTCAAAGTTTATCATAAAATTCTGAGTCATCTATCTCCCTTTAGTTTTACCTTTAAGTCACTAACTTTTGTTTAAATCAATTACTATATTTTTTTTTTTTAAAGTACATCGTACATGTAATTAAAGGTATTATTCATTGAAGTTAATGCTTAAATTAATCAATTAAACCTTGTTGAATCAATGCATTGAAGTATAGTATAAACACAGAGAGACAAATACATATAAATTTACGTATGCAGATAAATACAAACAAA